GAGTGAGTGGAGTGAGTGGAGTGAGTGAGTGAGTGAGTGAGTGAGTGAGTGAGTGAGTGAGTGAGTGAGTGAGTGAGTGAGTGAGTGAGTGAGTGAGTGAGTGAGTGGTGAGATCTTGTGTTGTGTCAGTGAGTGAGTGAGTGATGAGTGAGTGAGTGAGTCAGTCAGTCAGTGAGTGAGTGCGTGACCGAGGAGGGGGCGAGGAGGACGGAAGGAAGGAAGGACCGGCGGATGCGGGCGGGATGCCGCCAACAAAACTAGAACCCCACACAGAGATGTGGGGAAAACTCGTAAAGCACTCTTGTAGGACACTCTTGTGGGACACTCTTTTGGGATACTCTTCCAGCTCCCCAGATACTCCGCGTACTAAAGTTGTACTACAAGGTCACCAGTTCTCACCTTCCACCTCCACAGATTGCTCCGCGTACTAAAGTTGTCCTACAAAGTCGACTCTTGTGGGACCCTCTTGTAGGACACTCTTATACGACACTCTTGTGGGACACTCTTGTGGGACACTCTTGTAGGACACTCTTGTGGGACACTCTTGTAGGACACTCTTGTGGGACACTCTTGTAGGACGGACACTCTTATGGGACACTCTTATAGGACACTCTTGTAGGACACTCTTGTGGGACACTCCTGTAGGACACTCTAGCGGGACACTCTTGTAGGACACTCTTGTAGGACACTCTTGTAGGACACTCTTATGGGACACTCTTGTGAGACACTCTTGTGGGACACTCTTGTGGGTCACTTGCAGGACACTCTTGTGGGACACTCTTGCAGGAAACTCTTGTGGGACACTCTTGTAGGAAACCCTTGTGGGACACTCTTAAAGCACTCTTGTAGGACACTCTTGTGGGACACTCTTGTGGGATACTCTTCCAGCTCCCCAGATACTCCGCGTACTAAAGTTGTACTACAAGGTCGCCAGTCCTCACCTTCCACCTCCACAGATTGCTCCGCGTACTAAAGTTGCCTTACAAAGTTGCCAGTTCTTAGCTTCCAGCTCCACAGATTGCTCCGCGTACTAAAGTTGTACCACCAAGTCACCAGTTCCCATCTTCCAGCTCCACAGATACTCCGCGTACTAAAGTTGTACTACAAAGTCGCCAGCGCTCGCCTGCATTTCGCGCGCTCGACACGCACGATCTCCGCAGAGGGTGGTGCGGGCACTGGACAATTAAATCGCACTCTCGCCTGCATTTCGCGCACTCGACACGCACGATCTCCGCAGAGGGTTGCGCGCGCATGGGACAAATCGCACGCTCGCCTGCATTTCGCGCACTCGACACGCACGATCTCCGCAGAGGATTGCGCGCGCATGGGACAAATCGCACTCTCGCCTGCGTTTCGCACACTCGACACGCACGCTCTCCGCAGAGGGTTGCGCGTCAAGTCTCCAAAACGAGCATTTCGTACGAGACTTCCCCAAAAACTCACACGCCAAAGTCTGCAAAACGAGCGTTTCGTGCGAGACTTCCTCCAAAAGTCAAGCGGAAACACCCATCGGAACACACACATCACGCAGCCCTGCCAAGCAGTTTCGCGATTCCAGCCCCCCAAACAACATCCGCTCACACGCCAATCCCAATGTGACAGCGACATTCACCTCTACCACAACTCACAACCTCACGATTCCCTGCGCCTGCCACGAATCTTTCCGCGTCCACACGTCTAACGCGCACAAAGTACTGCGCCTGCCACGAAAAGTCACAATAGCATCGCATGTGCGCTTCAACAAAATTTGCACCACACCACACGTTTGGAATGATTTCGACCCGTTCAGAGCACACTCCCATCCATCAAAATCGCCATTTCAGCTGAGACTTGTCACGAAAACCGAGCTTCGATGCCACACCCTGAAACGCAAATCACAATGGCACGGCCACATCCAACACCCCAAAAACACGACTCTCCAAACGCTAATCTCAATGGAACTGCGCAGGAATCTGCGGATCTCACAAAACGCTGCGCCTGTGCAGCGAAATGCATCACGTTTCTTGCGCGACATGTCGGTATCATGCAAATCACAATGGAATAGCAGGCGCAAACTGACACGTGACACATCCATGAAAAGTCACTTGCAAAAGCTTCCCCCAATGGCAGCAAATTTGAGACGCGACGACGACGACACGACGACGAGAGACGACGACAAACGACGAGACGACGCAAGCCATGCAAACACAGCTCCAACCCCCAGACCCCCAACTATAAACGGGAACCCTTCGCTACGCATTCGGGAAAAAGACCAGCGCCAACCGACCCAATAAACAAAGTGTTTCGGGACCCCAAGATGGTGTGCAAAAAATAAGCGCTGTCGAGGAATCTTGGAGGCTTCACAGGTAGATGATCGATGCGAAAGCAAGTAGATGCTGGAGAAGCAGGATGCGCGCCAAGTACGTACATGAGATAGACCGAACAGGCGAGGGTTGTGAAATTCCGGGTGTCGTGGGGGCCACTGCGGGATGTGAGCGCTTGGCTGGTGGGGTCGAGGCTCCAAGGGCCGAGGCTTCAACTTCAGGATGGACGCCATGCGCTGAGGCGGACCAGGGCGGACCAGGGGGGAGCGCTTGGGCTGCGAGATAGGGCATTGGGCCCTTGACGGTGAGAGAGTCGGCCCAACAGGCATTCAATGGGCGGGTGCTGCCACGAGTTCAGAGCCGAGGCCAGGCCGAGACCTCCCTGAGCAAGGTGGCCAGGGCAGCAAACAAAGATTCGTCATGAGGAAGAAGAGATAGTTGTACCGCAGGTGGCTGCGTAAAGAAGCAAAACCAAGATGCCTGGAGGCTCCGGTATAGCAGGGTAATTAGGCGTACCGCAAAAGCAATGACGACTGTTTCTTTTGCCTGTACGTAAACAAGATTAAACAAGATTAAACAAGTGATCGTTTTGAATTTCCACCACGCACTGACCACAACTCCAGATGCTCATGGGAACTCAAAATCCAAACAGTCACATTTTTCCAAATAAATTGTATGGTTCAGTTGAGGTGGCGTGAGCGTTGGCTATAGGTAGTTTTCCACCACCCAATCCACCAGGCCAATGGCAAGCCATGGCACTTGCCAACGATCGCAGGCACTGTGAAGAAGGCAGCCGATCGAGTCTTGTGACGTTGAGCGAGCCAGGGTCCCGCAAGCTCACCATGCAAATGATTCCACACTTGCCGGAAGGCCTGGCACTTATTTTGATCCCTCAAAACATTCAACTAATTCAAAATCTACCAGTAGCCCACATCCATTGTTGGGTTAGTCATTATTTACAAAATGTTCGCAACGTTTCCCGGTCCCTTGAAGTCTTGCAAGCTCCAAGCCAATCACTTACTTCAGCAGCCTGCAATCTGATAGTTATATAGGTTCACAAATCAGTGCAATTACCTGAAGAATGAGGACGCAGGACGACGCTGGGCATCGTGGGTTGGCCATCGAGAAGGCATTCCTTTTGTTTTCATAACCATATCCACAGCCAGTGTGGCCTCTTTGCCTTTGCAAGCTGCAAGCTTATGGTCGCTTATGGTTAAGCCAACTCAGTGGGCATGTGTGGTGCTGAGTGTTTACGTTGACTACTTGACTCCATCTGGCGGTTGTCACTCCAAAATGACGTAAAATGCCACGGCACCAATAAGTGAGGGTCGCCACAGAACAGTGCTTACAAACAGATCGAAAACATTTGGAAACGATTCATGACAGTGACATTTCATTCAAAGGGGCAGCACACAAACAACTGGTTGGGAAAGCCAGAAGAGTACATGTCAAGGGATGTTAAGGTATGTCAAGGGATCCAAGACGGAGAAGAGCACGCTGCAATGCCACTAACGCCCGATAGGGTGGCCGGCAATCAAGAATGTAAGGGGATAGTAGGCCTTGCATGTCCGAGGTACCGCTTCGAAGGTGGTCGGATCCGGGATCCGACGGGACGTGTGGGTGGACGGGGTGGAGGACTGGAGAAACTCAAATGGCTGTGGGCTGTGGTGGCCTTTGCTTTATGCATCAAGCTCTCTCTCTATCTCTCTCTATTCTCGCTTGTGGGCTGTGGCCTGCCTCTGGCGATTGTGATGCTTTTGTTGGATCACGGCGGTTCCACAACGAGAGACGGATCAAAAAGGAGATACATTAAGAATAAAACAAGAAGCACCTAAATTGCTGAGTCCCGCGTCGAGACAAAAGTATCAATTGCCAGCGAAGGCGTTCGCCAAGGCAGGCAGAGGGGTAGGGGTCTGAAGTGACACGTAAGCAGGGCAGGTGTGGTCCAGCACATCCCTGAGTTGCGCTCAAGTGATGTTGCAATCAGGTTGTTTCCCATCAGTGTGTAAGCAGCGCAAGCCTGGTCTGAAGTAAGACGGATTGCATTAATTATATAGCCAAGCTGTTGAAACTTGCACTGACAAGCCGACAGCATCTTTTTCGTCACTAGTGACACTAGTGTGTGCCAGCAAAACGCTTTTTTCGCATAGTACTGCTTGGCAGTATACAGCAGGTGGTCTCGCTCACCCGAAATCTGCATTTGGGTCAAAATTTGCAGACCCTGGGCCGGGCCCCTCAGAATGGATGAACCTGATGAAACAAACTAGGAGGAGGTCGACCTCTACCATGGTCTTGATGTCTGTGGTTTTGACCCAAAAAAGAGCTGGACATTGGATCTCATCGCAGAGCCATAGCACCACAGAACCTGGGCACTCGACATCTGTGAAATTCGTAAGAAAGTCCACGCTGGATTCTGCGCACCATTCAGCCTCTTACTGGTTCCGTTGTGTGAAGGCAAAGATTCCGGCGCAACAGTTGTTTCAAACTCTCCAGGTTTAATGCCTGCACAACGTTTGTTTATAGTGCAGTGACATGTGGCTCATGTGTCAACCTGATCAACCTGATCTTGTTGCAACCATACTTCCCAGGCATTGCGATCTTCATAGCGAAATTGCACGTTTAAGGTCTTTGTAGCTACTCTGAAAATTCAAACGCAGTCTACACCTAACGCATCCTAACGCTCGCTCAAGATGAGAGCGCCCCGTAAGCCCAAAGAACTCAACGACTGCAAATTTGTTTTTGATCTCGCGACCAATCTGGTAACAGCTCTCTCAAAATGGGCAATAGTAGATAGATGTAGATAGCTTTCCTACAATGTACTCATTTCGGCTGGTCTCGCTTCAACCAGGCAATCTCCATGTCTTTGGATGCCACTTCATCCTTCAGTCTCTTCACCTCTTCATTCAACTCTTGGAAGCGCATAGCAAATGCCATGAGATTCTCGGGCATCAAATCTGAGCCTTGGCTACCAAGTCCACGACGCTTGGGCTTGAGATCTTCCAAGTCCTTCATAATCATGTGGAACACATGAATATTCTTTGCCTTAATGCCAGTCAACCACTGCAGAAACTCTTCGGAGCTTGTTCGACCATCGTTGTCTCCATCAAGCACTTCGGACAGGTTTCGACCGTCAATTTGACTTTGCCCACCATGCCCACCCACAATCCGACAAATCTCGCTTGTTTGGAGCATCCCACTATCATCGGCATCCAGCACTGAGAAAACCTTTGCAATCCTAGCAGCCTCAGAAGCGCTCAGGGCAGTCATATGTGCAGCAGATTCCACATTATCCTCTTCGGACTCACTGTCGCTTCCTACCACCACTGCCTCATACTCAGCCCATTCATGGCCAACGTCACTTTCACTTGTGGAACTACTGCTCACATCCACAACATCCCATTGCGTGTCGCCCTTCAGGATTCGCTCCTTCTGCTTGATCTGTGCCTGGTGATTCTTGTGCAATCGCCTTTCCGCTTCTTGCTCAAAGCCCCAAGTCAGCATGGATGCAGGAATTGCGAACTGTGCCGTGGCCAAAACCGCAGTAACGACAACAATCACCTTGGTGTACCATGGCAGTTGTCCGCCAGGTTGACCCTGCCCAGTGAGCATCATCACAGACAAATACATTGTTGCAGGAATAGACTCAAAGTCATCTTCAAGTCCAGGAGTGTCTGGAGGTGGAGCCATGTAGTACAAAACGGTGGACATCAGAAGAATTAGAATCAAATCAATCATAAATGCGACACAAAGGATTTCTCGATTGAAGTAAAGTACTCTTGCGATCACGTCAACAGAGGCCATGACTGAGTTGGATTTGAAGAGTCTGAAAAGGCGGATCACACGTAAGAATTGAAGGTTGGGCATCTCAGTGGAAAAGATTCGTTCAATGAACCATGGCATGAAGGAGACCAAGTCGACCACTGAGGTGAACGAAGAAATGAACTTAAGCCGCGCTTGAGGGATGGTCATTTCCTCGAAGCGCTTGTTCTCATGAATAGTTAGAACTCTCATGACATACTCAACAGCAAAGATGCAGGATGACACCGCCTCCATCTGGTGAAAAAACTGTTTGAACTTTCGTTCTGTGTACTTGTCCGTTTCAATGATGAAGCAAACCACATTGGTGACAATCAAGATGCCAATGAAGTTTCTAAAAATCCTGGGTTTCTCGAAAGAAATCGAGCAAAAGGAGTAGAACATCTTGAACCAGAAAGGTGGACCCTGGACGAGAAGAGTCTACGTTTTGGCCTCCAACATGCTAGACTTCAGCTTGGCAATCCTCAAATCCAACCCGTCAAGCCCAAAGCGACTTTCACCACGAAGTGATGTCAAATGAGGATCCAGAAAAAAATATCGGACATGTTTCCACTGTGTGTGTTTTGCCATCTAGAGTCACAAACCAGCTAAAACTGCCAAAGTTATCCAAAGTTGCACTGCTTCCAAACGATGAGAGTGGGCGCTCGTCAAGGAGTACCTGGAGTGGGCGCGTCTCACTCTTTATGGATCAGGACCAATTACAGTGTACCAATAACCAACAACATCCAATAGCCATTCGCTGCCAAGCAACAGAAAGGTATGTCCCTTGCCACCGCGCAAGGCCTTCAGTCGCTCGCGTTCCTGCGCCCCGAGCAAGCATTGACAAACGGCTTGGTCGGTCCACGTGGTGAATTTCCTCTACGTGTTCTACCGGTTGCAAACCATGTCCTTCCCTGACATCTTCGGTAGACTTATTCTTCTTCATGAAAAAAGAAGCAAAGAAAACAGAAGCTAAAAAATGAACAATAAGAAAGAAACAGAAATAAGAGGAAAAGAAACACATAAGAAAAAAAACTTGCATCAAAAGCTACTTTGATGCTGCAAAGGCCGTCTGCATGTGAATGGTTTGCAACAGAATGTGCTATAGGTTCATCCTGATTGCCTCGAACGCGGCAAAACCTGATAGAACCCACGAACCCGAATGCAGCCACTTTGTACAGAAGCGTAGCACTCAAAGCGTTCTTGTTTTCGGAGATGGCTCGCAGAGTCATCAACTAAAGCAGCGCCAGCACCTCCCCAGCCGCAGCACCTGACGCACTTTTGCTTCACACTTTTGCTGGACAGTCTTTGCTACACACTCTTTTTTGACACTCTTTGCTAGACACTCTTACTTTACACTCTCGCTTGCCACTGAAACTCTTTCTTGGCACTTTTTGCTAGACACTCATTGCTTGACACTCTTCCTAGACACTCTTTCTTGACACTCTTGGCTAGACACTCTTGCTTGACACTCTTGCTCGGAACTTAGACACTCTTGCTGGACACCCTTGCCAGGACACTCTGCTAGACACTCTTGCTAGACATTTTGGCTTGACACCCTTGGTGGACACTCTTTCCTAGACACTCTTTCTGGACACTCTTTCTTGACACTCTTGCTGGACACTCTTGCTTGACACTTTTGCTGGACGCTCTTTGAGACACTCTTTCTGGACACTCTTTCTTGACACTCTTGCTGGACAGTCTTGCTTGGCAATTTTGCTGGACACTCTTTGCTGGACACTCTGGACACGACACTCTTGCTAGACACTCTTTCTTGACACACTTTGCTAAACAATCTTTTTTGACACTTTCTCTTGACACTCTTGCTGGGCACTCTTGCTTGACACTCTTGCTTGACACTTTTGCTGGATACTTTTACAGGACACTCTTGCTTGACTTTTGCTTGACACTCTTGCTGGACACTCTTGCTTGACACTCTTGAAAACAAGCATTTTTCACAAGACTTTCACCAGAAGCAATCAAAGCTTCCAAAAACGAGCATTTTCCACGAGACTTTCTCTTGCTAAACAGTCTTGCTTGAAACTCTTTCTTGGCACTCTTTGCTAGACAATCTTTCTTGACACTTGGTCTTGACACTCTTGCTTGACACTGTTGCTGGACACTCTTGCTTCACACTCTTGCTGGACACTCCTGACACGACACTCTTGCTTGACACTCTTTGCTAGACAATCTTGCTTGACACTTTCTCTTGACACTCTTGCTGGACACTCTTGCTTGACACTCTGCAGACACTCTTGCTGGACACTCTTGCTTGACACTCTCTCTTGACTCTCTTTGCTAGACAATCTTTCTTGACACTCTTTCTTGACACTCTTGCCTGACACTCTTTGCGGGACACTCTTGCTGGACA